TATAAAGTATCGATGCTTGGAATTTCAAAACCTATTACTTTAAAGTAATAGGTAAATTTACAATGTAAACGGTAAAAGTCTACATGTATAATGATAATAGGCGTAAACATAAAGTATATATATTGTTTATATCAGTATCAATACTTTTATTTCATCATGCTTCTCAAATAATTTGTACGCAACAATGTATCGATACCAATATATAAAGTATCGATATCGATATAATGATAATAGGTGTAAACATCATGTATCGATACACGTGTATAAAGTATCAATACATGAAATTTTAAAACCTATTACTTTAAAGTAATAGGTAAATTAACAATATATACGGTAAACGTTTCTACGGTAAACGTTTCTACTTTAAAGTTATAGGTAAATTAACAATGTACATGATAATATATTGATAATATATTGATAATATTGAAAACAAATCAAGTAATTAACCTATTTTGTTATTGTCGGATTTCTAAAGTTTCATAAGCTTTAAACAGGTGCAACCTTTTACATTAAATAAGCTCTACTTGTTATGTTATTATGGTTGATAATGTTTTCAGTAATTAACCTATTTGTTATCGTTGGATTTCTAAGAATGCATTAGCTTAAACTTTGGTAACATTTTATGCACTACCTAATACGTTGATAACATTGATAACAAATCAAGTAATTAACCTATTTTATTATTGTCGGATTTCTAAGGCTTCATCAACTTTAAACATGCACTACCTATTATATTAAATAAGCGCTATCTGTTATGTTATTATGATTGATAATGTTTCCAATAATTAACCTATTTTGTTATCGTCGGATTTCTAAAGCTCCATCAGCTTAAACTTTGGTAACATTGTTATTGTTACATAATATGTTGATAATATTGATAACAAATCAAGTAATTAACTTATTTTATTATCATCGGATTTTTAAGGTCCCATCAGTTTTAAAAATGTGCTACCTATTACGTTACATAAGTGCTACCTGTTATGCTATTATGGTTGATAATATTTCTAGTAATTAACCGATTATGTTAAAGTCAATATTTTTTTGCCCATTTTACATACGCCGATAATATTCCCAGTTATTACTATTATTATTATCAACACATATAACATTTCCGGTGAAAATATATAACATTTTTTATAACACTTTTAACCGTCATCTATTTAATAAGTCACACTATTTTTTAAGTATATATTAGTCTGTCTCTCAACAGAACCTGCCCTTTTTATCACCTTTCACGTCAACGTGGATAATTATCATTGCACACTGAATTTTCTTCGTTCATATTTTATATCTGATATAAACAAAAAGTATTGCTTGCATGCTAGATTAATTGGAAGTTGATTTTTTTTCACCACGGCTAACTTATGGGCATAATAAAAAAAAATTAAAATACGAATTATTTAATTAAAACTTAAGATATTTTACTAATATGATACAAGTAGTTGAAGTATGAGATACATATGGAGCACTCTTGTTCATGGATAGATCAAGGAGGTGATTTAGAGCCATTGTATGTTCCAAAATTTTAAATTATCATATATTTTAGATATATTTTTATATTTTTATTGATAATTTATTTCTACCTCTTAGAATTTTATAGATTTATCCTCTAAAATTTTAATAGTTTAACTCTGATATAAAATTATGTGGTTATCATATTCTTATTATAATATTAAGTATAAGCTTTAGCTTTTTTTAGGTAGACACTGTTCAATGGCACGATCATTCAACCAAGGGGGTGAAGTCTTCGAAACTGTAATGATCATCACTCAACAAAAACAAAATGCACAATATTCTGTATCCTTTCCTTCCTTTTTTTTCCCTCTTCAACTGTTAATGTGAGCTTCCAGTCTCTTTTTCTTACTTTGGATGGTGACTTTAGTTCCCTTGTTTCCTTTTCAACTACTTTCGATTGCATTAGCTATAGGGAAGTTTTGTTGTACAAATGCTTAATTTAAGGTTAACAAATTACAGGGAAAGAGTGTAATCGAAAATATAATAAAAAGGAAATATTTTTTATTGTCAATAAAAAAATATTAAAAAGAATGTAACATTTTCGGTTGAGTTGAAAATATTAAGAAAAAAATTAACATTTTAAATTAAGTCAAACGGAAAATATTATAATTTTGATCACATTTTTTATTACACCTATTTTCCATTGTTTGTTAACCTTAAATTAGACAATTGTTGTTTAGACTTTCCCATTAGAATATATAATTAGGCAGCCGCCATTTTAGAATAAGGATTCAGTGTTCCCATGTCGCGTTCGGATGCATGTGCTCTCAAATCAAGCTAAACTTGTTCCAGTGAGCCCTTTAGAATGATAGGTTGTCTACTTGCTTGGTACATTTGATAATTGATATTAGCTACGCAAACTTATCTTCAAAAGTAGGTGTATATATTTAATAATTTTACAATTCATGTTCGAGATTTAAAGTTTCACTTCACATTATATCATCTTTATGATTTGAATATGAATTCTTTCACGAGTGTAATGTATTTTGTCCTACTCAACACTTGTTGGTATCTTTAAACGAATATAATTCTCTTATTTTAAGATAATATATATTTTGTAATTTGACCTTATTTGATTCAGACCCAATTGAGAAAAAAATCTTATTTGCACAAATCAAAAGGGTTCCGGGGTAAATGAATTATTGTTATATCTTGATAATCTGGATTTGAGTATCATAGATGTCAGGGTGTGAGCGTTCAATATTAAAAGGTTGAAAATTATCTTTAAATAGATAGTGTATTGTACTTACCCCTATTAAAAATTAAAAAAATTATTTTTTTAATTTTTTTAATTTTTTTTATTATAAGTTCATAATTAATTGATTTTTATCCTTAACGATTTAAAAAGAAGGGGGGGGGGTTCAAATATTATGTAAATAAGTATTGTGAAACAGCTTGGCAGTCACGGACTCACTGATTCCATAAAGAGAAAAAGGACAGCAATTGCGACAAAAGTGCCACATTATCCGACAGTTTCCCAATAGTTACTATAACGAACAATTCCTGATGCTCTCCTTGCTTCTTTCTGAATTTCAGACCCAACTGTATTATTTATATATACTGTATATTTCTTCAATCTTATAATATTTATCTCATACTATATTATAGTAATAAATGAAAATAGCACACAAAAATATTGTAAATAGTAAGTGAACTCCTTTCCAAATATTTAACTAAGTTTAAATTATGGAGTTATCAGGACTTCATTTAAATACCAACAAAATTATAATTCTCACATTCCTAAATCAGAACTTAAAAAAAATCAATTTTGACCTATTAAATTTTAGAGGTATTTTTTCTAAAACTTTTCAAAGTGATTTAAATTTTTTTATTTAAAAATGTTGTATAAAAATTTAAAATAAATAAATATATATTTAAAATGTTATTTGTTAATATAAACATGTTTTAAATAGATTCATCGTTAAATTTGTATCACCTGATTCAATAGTACTAAAATAAATAAATAAATAAAATTAGGATATTATATACAATTGTCACCCCTATTACATTAAAATTATTTAGATTTTAAAATAAAAGATTCCCGATCACCACCCCAAATAGAAAACCTCTAAATAATAGAGTACTTAAGTTTTATGTCAATAAAATTGCACCAATCAAGAGATTTTGATAGTAAAATAAATATTGTTTTTTGAGGTATCTAGTTTAAGCACCATGAATGCCAGTCGTATGAGTATTTAATATTAAATATTGTTGTTTTTGAGGTATGAGTATTTAATAAATGATTGAGAATTATTTTTAAATAAATATTATTTTATACTTACCTCATATTAATAAAAAAAATCATATCTTTCAAATTAAAAGTTAATTTAATAATTTTTATTTTTAATTTAATGATATTATAAGAAACTAAGGTACTCTTTTACATATAAATATATATTTTTATTTTAATATAATTTTTTAATGATTCAACGTGACATGTAAGACTAAATTCAGGGCCGACTCTAAGGGGAGTACCCAGAGAAACCGCTCAGGGCCCCCTATTTTTTTGAATTTATAACTAGGGCCTTCAATGTTTTACATTTACAATTAGAGTTCTTAAATTTTATAATTTAAGTGTTTGATCATTGTTTTTCATTTCTCTCATTAATTTATTTAATTTTGAATTACTTTTAACCAAATTTTTATATTTATAATTAGGGCCCTAATTTTTATAATTTCATAAAATGTTTAGTTTTTGACCATCTTTTTCTAGTTTTCTTATTTATTTATTCATTCAATTTTGAATTAAATTCAATCATGTTTTTCTCTTTTTACAAATCTTACTCTTCAATTTATCAAATATTCTTTAATTTTTAGTCTTCTTCAATCTCAATCTGACAATAAAATAATATACAATTCTTTTTATTTATTTATTATTCAAAATCAAGACACGTATCATATATGCATTCAATTTTTTATATTTATTCTTTTTAGTTGTATTTAAAGTGTGTTTTAATAAAATAATAAAAATAATATATTTTCACAAAATTTATATGATATATTTATGATATTATATAACTTTAGAATATAATAAAAATAATGTGATATGTTTATGATATTATATCATATAACTTTACAATATTTAAAAGCCACATTATCCGTTGATAGTAAATGTTAAAGTTTCTAGTTTCAACCTTTCTTTTTACAAAAATAAAAGAAAAACAGAAATGAAAAGACTAGGAAATTTCCAAGTAAGTCTGCATGGCTTCAAAATAATAGCTTTGGAAAGAGAGAGATTTGCATTTTTCTTTTATGTTTTGATGTCGGAGTTAACCAAAGGCTGTCGGAATTTGGGTACGAAAGCCCGTTTCTGTATTTAAGTTAGCTAAAATAAAATTTATAATTAAAACAAAAGAGCCAATTGAATGATAATTAATATATCGGATGCTATGATAATCCCGTTAATTTCCAGCGTGATGGATCTTATGAATCTAAAAGCCTAAACATTGAATCACAGCGGGTATAAACAAATTCTCGGCATCTTTGTTTTATGACAAAAATCAGCCAAAGTAACCCTTAAAACACTTTTTAGTTTTTTGGAACGAAAACCCTAATTCATAAAGTTCAATTCAAGAGGAGGAGAAGAAACCATAAGCTTTTTGTTTTTGGCGCTACTTTTTAACCCCACAAAAACTTTGCTTGCCTTTTTAGACAAGTGTTCCACTACCAAATAGCTGAGTCGATGACTTCATCTAGCAGTTCAAAGACCCAATGTTGATCCCATGTTGACTACCAGCTCCACCCATGTTTCTCACCATTTCTCCCACTCCCAGAAAATCCAATGTTAATTTGTCACTCCCGGCGCCCATGCTTCCCGCCAGATTTTGATGCAACTTATTACCTTCATTAACGTTCGAGAAGTTGGTGTTGTCAGTCCATGCGAATCCTCCGACGAAGTTGCTTTGATCTTGTCCCTGGCCGGCACCGAAAATGGAAGAGTTAACATTGGCGAGAGAATTCATTAGTCCTTGAAGATTGTTTTTATCGTTCTCCATCTGTGATCTCAGCGTTTCTCCTTCTCCTCCACCGCCTCTGCTACTTCGGCCGCCGCCGCCGCCACCACCAAAATTGCTGCCGAAGTTAGCGGCTAAATCTTGTCTTTCGGGTTTCATCCCACTCGAAGAAGAGCTCCCCATTCCTCTCAGCAAAGAGGAAGTGTGGTTGCTTGTAGTTGAACCCATTTGAGCAGCTTTCTGAAGCAATGCGGTTGCCGACATGTTTGGAGAAATGTTCTCATGTTGCATTGAGGTAGTAGTGCTGTAATGAGAGGACAGCCCCGAACCGACCTGATCACCCATGTTGAACTGATTACCACTCAAAAAACCGGAATTCAATAAGTTGACGGCAGATGCGCCGCCGCTTTCACCGGAATTGTTGGGGAAGAAGCCTAAATTGAAAAGATTGGTAGAGTTGGCACCGGAATTGTTATTATTGCCTTGAAGGTCCTGAAGTTGCATTAGACCATGTAATGCTTTGTTGATGTACGCTCCATTCCCATGGGGAGATCGATGGTCCTGGTGAAAACCTTGGTTGGCCGCATCCTCCATGAAGAACATCGATCTGGGCATGTTTTGTAACGATGAAGGATTCGAGGGGGAGCCAATGAGGTGCTCGAACTTGGTGGCTCCGCCTCTTCCCAACCTCAACATATTGCTGGATGGTTGATTCTGAGCATGCATTTGGGATAATCCTAAGCTCATTTGATGAGGATGATTACTTCCAAAGAGATGATGGCTCCCCATTGCGGTTAAGTCATTGGGTGGGTGTCTCGCGGTTTCTTGAGCCAACGCATAGCAAAACGCCTGATGAGTGATGAAACTATCACGTCTGCAGTGAATAATAAAGAAAATTTGTTAATAGAATTCCATTAATGAAAGCTCAAACTTAAAGGTGTTGAAAATCAAAGTATTTCCATTGTTTGATCATTTTTACCATTTGGAGAAGAAGGTGTTCAATAAATGAAGAGAGGGAATCATTTCCCAGTTGATGTAAAGCATAAAAAAGGAAAAATCTGAAAAAGTTGTTTATTATTCATGGAAAGAATAATTTTCCATAACTATGAAAGCCATTAACAAATGACAAAAACAGTTTCTGGCTCAGCCCAATGAGTTTTTTCACCAATAAGAAACTTTGAGGAGGGAAAAAAAAAACTGGGTAAAAGAGCAGATATAGAATTGTTGCATGAAAGAATCAAAGAATTGTCCTCGAATTGTACAAAAAAGAGTGACAAAAAAAAAAAAGAAGTGCCCCACACTGGCAAGAACCCTAACGTTAAAACAGTTGCAGTAATAATATATGTATATATATAAAAATCTCATCAGAAGATAACAAATCCAGTAACAATATACTTCGTGACAGCGTATGAATTAACAACACGTGAATATGAAAAAGATGTAAGGCGATGTTACCAAGGAAGAAAATAAAGAAGAAAAATTTACTGATTTTTTTTGTTTGGTTGCGGAGAATCCTCATCAGCCGTGACAATTTCGCAGATTTTTGTTCACGTGCAAGACCAGTTTTTTTAAGAGTTTTAAAGAAGAAGAAGATGATGATGAAGAAGAGATCTAATGTAAAAGATAGATAATCCAAAAAGGTGAAACAAAAGAACAGGCTTTATCACTGCCCAAATCCCAGTCCCCAAATCTTTTTTTTTCTCTTTTCTTCTCTCATGATAACGTGATTTTGTAACCTTTGATGATAAAAGGGAAAAGAAAAGTTTCATGTTAATGATTATGGAAATAATTAGAGATTTTACTTAGAGAAAAGGGTGCCACAGTCACATCTGTATTCTCTAGTTCCGCAAGTCTTCGAATGAGCTTTCAAGTCGGACTGCACGGCGTACCGCTTCGAGCACTTCTCACACTTCCATTTCTTCTCGCCGTGCTTTCTGAAGTAATGCTTTTTGATGCCGGTGAGGTCGCCGAGTGCCCTCGCCGGCTCGTGGTGGACGCAAGTGAGTTCGGGGCAAAGATACACCTTCTTCTTCACTTCTTTCGTTGTCTTTTGCTTTAGCTTCCATGGCAGATTGTGTCCTCTTCTATGGAGCTGTAAATTTTGCTCCCTTTGGAACCCTTTGTTGCATACTTCACAAACGAATCTGTTTGTTGCCATTAAAGACTTGGGAGAGAGCGCTATCACCTCAACATGAGGATCTGCTTAGTAAAAACCCAGGATAAACAAAAAAAATTGGGGGAAAAGACGACAAATTAAAAACAAAAACCAGATGGTAAAACAAAAGCTGACCAACTTTTGGATTAGGGTTCATTGGATTATCTTAAACAAAAAATTCTCTTTGTTCTATTGAATTTACTCATGCGGATGTATATATGTAAAGAGATACTTGCTTGGTGTTCCGGGTTGACTTCTCTTCTTCTTCGTCTGTGGAGCAGTTGACGAAGACGGTGGGGTGGTGGTTGATTTCTCTTCGTTTGTTCCGAAGAAAGCTGCCGATGAAGAAGCGGCGGCCATTTTCAATTGCTTTTGAGCTTTCTCAGCAGGCGAAACCAATCTCTTCACAACCAGCAAACCTAGAATCCAGAAAAATCATTCAAAATCACCAAAGAGAAAAAAAGAAAGGGTTGTTGATGCCATAGGAAGGGGATGATGCTTTTTTTTTCCACATCCCCTTTTGTTTTCTTTTGAAAATCTTTGAAGGAATCAATAAAATAAGGAAGAAGACAAAAAAAAAAATCAGAGAGGAAGAAGAAGAAAAACTAGAGATGAAAAGGCCACAAGATACCAAGAAGGAAGTGTATAAGGAGACAGCAACAATCCGGAGTTGAAGAGAAAGAAAACAATCAAAATTATAGACTCCTCTGAAATTCTTCTTCAAAATTGTTGTTTTTTTATTATAAAATATATGACTTAACACTTGCAAACTTTACTCAACCATTAATGTCTATATATATATATATATATATTATATTACATACATAAACAAATACATACATGTTTATCCCTTATACTCTCTCTCCTCTGCTCTTTTCTTATGGTAATATTTTTTTATATCTAGATACTTTTTTTCTCCTAGTAGTAGAATATAAATTTTCCCTTTGTTTCTTATTACTTTATATACTTTTAAGAAAATAATTCAGAGAAAGTACCAAAGAAGATCCGATTAACCTGTTCCATGAACCAACTTATACTTTTGTTATAGGTACAATTAAAATCATATTTTTTTTCTTAAATAAATTAAATGACAAAACTATTTTTTATTTGAATTTAATTTAAAATGTATAAATATTAAATAAATAAATTAGTAAATATTTTAAATAAAAAAATAAAATTTTGAATCAAATAAATATCAAAACAAGTAGAGAACATCTATTAATCCATGATCGTACTTGATTTAGTTTGATATTTACTGTATAAAAGAAGAGATTGTTTGATCGAATCAGATCAGCAGAGACGAAACTATATGAACCTCAGCTATTGGTGACATAACCTTCACACTTCTCCCTTTCTTCGCTAGTTGTTGGTTTTCTAATGCTATTGGGGCTCCCGGCCTTTCCAGGGCCAAAGGAAGGCCAACGGACAATATCATTTCCGGTGGCCGCCCACCGGTATTACCATACAAGGTTAAGATAAGATTTACTTCATCGCAAGGGTTTTTACCCCCATTAGGGATTTTTCCTGTACTAAGGGTTTTTTCCTCCATTTAAAGGAAGAGTTCGCTTTCTCTTTCTTAAATCAAATATTTTAATTTAGTTAATAATAAATTTAATATTTTAAATTAAAGTATTTATTTTTTACAAAAATTAAAATATCACTTTCGATAAAGGAATTAAAATAATTTTTAATGTAATACAATACTTTAAACTTTAACCCATTAAGAAACTGAAGAGATACTAAAAAATCGATACATTAACCCATTAAGATTGACTTGTTTAAATTGCGATGGAGGTGTTGCCAAATCCAGATTGACTGGCTCTGCTATTGCCGTTTTGCGAGAGTCTACTGGTTCTTGGCTCATTAATTTTAGCAAACTCCTCGGTATTTCTTCGGTCCTACAGGCTGAACTTTAGGGAATCTATGAAGGTATTCGTTTGGCATGGGATTATGGTGCTATGAAATTAGAAATCCAATCGGATAATGCTCAAGCAGTGCATCTTCTTGATTCATCTAGCGTTACTAGCAGCCCCCTCTCTCTCTTCTTCGTGCCATCACTAATTGGCGTAATCGTGCTTCGGAGACTCGTATTCGTTGGGTTCCACGATCCGGAAATGCAGTTGGCGATGCCCTTACAAAGCTCGCGCCTTCTTCTCCAACAGAAATCAGCTTCTTTGATGCTCCTCCTGCTAGCATTAGTCGATTAGTTGAGGTCGATGCAGAAAGCTTTTCCAATGTATCTGCTTAACTCTTAAACTTCCTTTTAATTCAATTTATATATATATATATATATATATATATATATATATATATATATATATTACGATTTTAGCATTCAAAAACACTTCTGTTGAATTAAGGGAAAGTATGCTTTTATTAATTAAAAATTTATAATTTTAGGGAGAATTAAAGAATAATTTTATCAAACTAAGGGATAAGACCCTTACCGACCACGATGATAATTCTATCACATGCATATATACACTTGTACGAATAATATTCTTTGACTCTGTATATTATAATTAAGAGTGAATTACACTAATGATCACCGAGATTTTCGGATTATTGCATTTTTGCCATTAAAATTGGAAAATTTTCATTGGAGTCACCATACATAAGAAATGCTTTCATTTCAATCATTATTATCAGCTTTCACTTATGGCTGTGACCGAAATTAAAGCATTCATTAAGTTCATTGACTCTAATGAAAGTTCAATTTTTTATTTTTATTACCAAAACATAAGAACCTTAAAACTTTAGTGATCATTAAAAATAATTTACCATAAAATAAATAAAATTAATTTTTTTTATAGAAAGCTGCTAGTTTTATTAAAAATAAAAAATATTCAGAATTACAATGAAGGTTTACAAGCATAACCGTAAACTAAAATATAATTAGGACTTTTTTCTATAATCATTGATACAAAAACTAGCCACCTATATCCACTACAACAAAACATGTTTTTAGCGGCATTTTTTTTCAGTCATGGTGTTTTCAAGCCGTTAAAAACCTTGTGGCGAAAAAAAACGCCACCAAAAGCACCGCTAAAACCAACGCCGCAAAAGGTAGTGGCATTTTTCGTCTACAAATGTCACTATATATCTTTTTCTTTTGTGGCTTTGTAAAAAACCGCCGCTAAATGTTATGACATATAGTTGTGTTTGTTCCCAAAAACATCGGTAAAGGTCATGACAGATAGTGGCGTTTGTAAATTAAAATGTCGCTATTGACTATGTTTAGAGTGGCTTTTTTGTATAAACTAATGATCTAGAACTTTAGTGGCGTTCTTTTCTAAAACATCGGTATTGATTATGTATTTAGTAGCGTTTGTTATACAAACACCGCTAATTAACACAGATTTTGCCAACGGTGTTTTCTGCTTTTCTGTTACCCAAATTTAAATTTTTAACTTGTAGCATTATCCAATAAACATGACATCTATAACAACAAACTTTAAATCCATAATAACAAACTTTAAATCCATTATAATAAATCAAACTTTATATTAACGTAAAATATAATAATGTAGTTCAACATTGTTAACCAGAATAAACAAAGAATATATCTAAAATAAGACCTAAGATGGTGGACTGTGAGATTGATTTTTTCGTATCATCTGCATCATAGCTTCAAGTCAAATTTCAAATTCTTGACATTTTTGTCGATATGTTGCTTCTATCTCATCTTCCCTCGCTTCATTTTCGGCTTTCATGTTAGACATTTTTTTAATACATTTCAACCAACTATTGTTTTAAACGACTAACTTCTAATTGTGTCCAATAAATGTACCATAATTTCTCCAGCTTCATCAGTCATAAGAGTTCCATCCTTTTTTGTATGTGTCATGTCGAAGAGCTTTATTCGTCCAACTTTTCAACCAGACGCATTTTCCTACAATGTAGAATAAAAATTAAGTCTTGCAAAAAAATTAATTAATAATATAATTAATTTTCGTTAGTATGTGCTACCAACTGTAAATCACTATGTGAATAATCAATAATACCTCATCATTAGCTATACAAGCAAAGCTCTTCGATCCAGCTGTGTGAGTAAACTTTTGTTGTTGTTTGCTAGCAACACCAACATGCTCTTGGTCCTACAATTTGAATTATTTACTTATAAAGTCAATATTATAATGACATTATATTATTTTTGAAAAATACATCATACATGTCCTTTCTTTGAACTCTAAAACCTGACTGCATCTTCCCATTGATACCTGAGCATTCCAGGTGGGACAATTTGTAGCTTCTCTTCAAGGTTGAGATCATTCTTGAAGTATTTATTTTTAATGAACTCTTGTGGTCTCTCAATCTCTTCCCTAACACTTGCTTCAAATAATCGTATGAGACCTCTAAAGAAAATTTCTCCTACAAATAACATAAGCGTTCAAAGTAAGTATAAATTACTATTGAACTGTTATGGATTATCTATTATAATGACATTATTACCTTAACAAAATCCAAAGCCTGATTTTTATTACTATTTGGCATTTCAGGCCATGACTCATAATCGATTGGTAAAAGAGTAGAAAATTACGTGTAACCATGCCTAAGTAACCAGATAGAAGACGTGCTTCTAGGCCAATAGGTTGACCGATATCGTATCTTGAAACTTTCACACAATGCCCAGGAGGAAGTTGATATAATTCCTTCAACGTTGTATGTTCTCTAGTCTTGCTTGTTCGACCATTTTCAACTATATAAGAAATAATTAAATGTAAGTTTTCAAAATGAACCAACAATTAAAAAAATTGTCAAACATTACCTTCAATTTCTACAACTTCTTCAACAGTAATAGGAACTTCTGAAAAGTCAACAGCAGTCGGTTCCTCATTATTTGTTTGTTCCTCCTCTTGAGAAGCTCAAACAATCCGTAAATCACTTAATTTTCTCCTGGGGCATGATATCTGTAATAAACAAACAACAATTTTAGTAAGAAAACGATTCAATTAATGAATATATTGAAGAAAAACATGTTATAAGTTATAATATTATAAATTAATAAATTAAGATATAAAATTTTACAACATTCCTATCATATCAATTCTCATAAATATCTTCATCCACGTCCTCCCAAACCCATTGAAATTGTGTAGTATTAGTGATAGTTTCATCTAAGTTTTGTGCTACAAAAGGTAAAGATTTTGATCTTGTTTTAATGTCATCTCTACTTCCATCCCCAAT